TGCAATATTGAACAATCAAGGATAACCAGTTTTTTAGATGAAGAAACAAAGCAGTTGAATGATTTATAGAGTGATGTATAGTTAAGGGGCTCAGTAACAGACTTTGGTAGAATTTTATTTTACTAAATTTTTTTCCTGTTATCTTGCTCATCTTAGGAACTTGAGTAATAATAGGATAACTACCTTGGAAGCTGGTTGCTTTGATAATTTATCAAGTTCCTTATTAGTGGTAAAGTTAAACCGGAACCGGATTAGTATGATTCCACCTAAGATCTTCAAGCTGCCTCATCTCCAGTTCTTGTGAGTAACTAAATAGTTGGATTATAAGAAAATAGTTTCTCCTTACAGTATTTGGTTATTTTTCTTTTTAATTATTGTTAGAGTATTTGAGCAAGCCAGTTTTCTGATTGTAAAACTTTTTGTTTAAGGGAACTTAAAAGAAACAGAATTAAAATTGTGGAGGGCCTTACATTCCAAGGGCTTGACTCCTTAAGATCTTTGAAAATGCAGCGGAATGGAATTAGCAAACTTAAAGATGGAGCATTTTTTGGCTTGAATAACATGGAAGAACTGTAAGTACTAGTAACTTGTCTTAATCACTTTCTCCTTGCTGGGACAAAAGGCTCAGAGTTTTTAGAGGATCCACTTCTGTAGTCAGGTGACTCCAAGGCAGGAAGGGCGTGGTGGGAGGCTAGTGAGAGAGAGAGAGACAATGAATGAATGAAGGAATGAGGAGGAAAGGAGTAGGGAGGGAGATACACTCTTCTGGGTGACACCTGTAGTGACCCACCCCTCTGACCAGGCCCACCTCCTGTAACTGCACATTTAGCTTTGAATTCATCCATCGGTGGATTAATCCCGATGAGTATAGCCCCTCATGATCCAGTTACCTTCCCAACACATGGGGCTTTGAGGGGACATTCTGTATCTCAACCGTAACGGAATTAGAGGGGAATTACTGGCAAAGGAGTCTGTCTGGAACTTTTCTTTTCTTTTTTTTTGTCCTTTTAGAGACGACAGGGTCTCACTATGCAGTTCAGGCTGGCCTTAAACTCAATTTGTAGCCCTCGCTGGCCTCAGATTCAAGGTGATCCTTCCTGTCTGAGCCTCCTGAGTGTGTCTGGAGCTTTTCAATGCCAAATGGATAGGATAGCTGCTTAATTATACAGAAGTGCATTATTTTTTTTCTCCATTCACAAAACTTTTGGGGCGCTGGCGGGGCATTGGGAATGCTAACTACCCACTCTGCCACTGATTTATGCCCTCAGCTTTCATATGTATCTTTTAATTTCTCTTAGTCACTTGGTATTTGTATCATCATTCACACAGACTTCTCAGATGAGAATTATCAGAGTTTATCCAGGAGTATTACACCACGTGGCATGTTGGTTTGGTAGGGCTGATGTTTTAGATAGTTTTATTATCTTCCAGTGCTAAATACTAAGACGTACATATTTACCAAATAAAATGGATTGCTTTGGTTGAGCAAAGGTATGTAGGTCTCTGAGAAAGAAGTGTAATGCAGATTTAAAACTGCTTGCTATTGAAATGCCTCATTTTGAAATATTTTTTCATCTCATTTTCTCTTTCTACAGAGAACTAGAACACAATAACCTTACGCGAGTGAACAAGGGGTGGTTATATGGCTTGCGAATGTTACAGCAGCTGTATGTTAGCCAGAATGCTATTGAAAAAATCAGCCCTGATGCGTGGGAGTTCTGCCAGAGACTATCGGAACTGTAAGTGTTGGGTGGCGTTTCATTGGAGGCTGAGACTAGAGCAGGTTGGAATAAATGGTTCCCATGGCTAGTAATGAGATCTGTTGTCCCTCTTTCTTAGAAGTTTGTTAGAAACTTTAAATTAATCATGGAAATATAGTTATTTACGTTGATCCAAAATATAATGAATTCCTTACCTTTCCTATTTCCTGTTTTTAGTGATTTGTCTTACAACCAACTGACGCGCCTGGATGAATCTGCCTTTGTGGGTCTCAGTTTACTGGAGAGATTGAATTTAGGGGACAACAGAGTCACTCACATTGCTGATGGTGTATTTAGGTTTCTTTCTAATCTTCAGACACTGTAAGTACATCCATATCCTTTTTTTCTTTAATAGAAAAAGGAAGTTAATTAAAACAAGTAATCAGTCTTCGTTTTCTTCTTGCCCTGCTGGTGATTGGGCCCAGGGCCTTGCATGTGAGGGGCAAATGCGGTACAGCTGAGCTGCAGCCCGGCCCCGGTCTGTAAACTTGTTGTGGGAATACTTTGTGGTTCTTCTGCCTTGTGCCTCAGGACAAGACAGTCTTCCTCGTTTATATCCCACGAATAAATCTTATGCCTATAGTAGGTATTTCAGTTTTTTGTTGTCCATTGTTTTTTATTTTTATTTATTGAGATTGACCCTTGCTATTATATACCAAAAGCTGGTCTTGAACTCAGCCTCTTGAGTGCTGGTATTACTCAGTTTGTATTTTAATTATGACTTAATCACAAGTAAGGCCTGTCTTATTTTGCCAGTTGTTATGGTATAAAATACAGCGACTACTATCAAGAATGCAGAAATTTTCTTGTTCTCTGGCCTACACCAGAACTATTACCATTCAGAAGGATGTAGGCTGTGTAGCGGTAGCAGCTCTGTTCACTATTACTAGTGTGTTACATGACTTTGAACTGAAGAAACTGATACTTACTTTCTGATATGTGCCAGGCACTTTCAAGTATTAGGATGATACTACTTTTTTTTCCCTATTAGGAGGCTGAGGTTTCAAAGATTAAAATAATCTCTTAAAGTCACATAGGTTATAAATGTTTGTATCAGGATTGGAATCAAAGTCTGTTTGATGCAAAAGCTAAGGTGTATTTCATGCTATCAGGTAAACAGAATTGCTTGGCTCTCCCTGATCATCATTTTCTTTGTTTCTTCACTCATGATTATATAGATGATTGTTAAAGGCAATTTCAACTGTAAAGTCCTGTGGTTTTGTGAATGTTGTGCCCAGTCATGGGATATAATTTTATGGAACGATGAAGAAGTTTTAAAATGTAATACTAACAGTCCCAAATACAGCAGAATAAGAGGGGGAAAGCAAGGAATAGTTAATAGAATTTGTAGATTTATTTGTGTATTTATTCATTTTTGCAATATTGGGGATTGAACTCAGGGCTTTCTCACTGAGCTATATTCCCAGTCCTTTTAAAATTTTTTACTTAATCCAGACATGGTGGCACACACCTGGATTAAATAAAAGTAATCTCAGTACTTGGGAGTCTGAGGCAGGAGGATTGACGTGAGTTTAAGACCAGCCTTAACTACGTAGCAAGATCCTATCTCAAAAAATTTTGTTTTAAAAAAAACTTGAGACAGGATCTTGTTAAGTTACTTAGACTGGGCACAAGCTTGTGTTTCTCCTACTTCAGCCTCTCAGAGTGTTGGAATTACAGAAGTATGCCACCATGCCTGGCTACATTTGTAGAATCTTAATGGATCTTTAGTAAAGAACTTGGTAGTCATCAGGTTTACGATTGATAAATAGTTTCAGAAATGAGGTAGTCTCCCAACTTTGGTACCTAAGTAGTGAGGAGGAAACAGTAAATTTGTGAAGATGTATCTGTACACACATAAGGGTATGTTTTGGTTTTCCTTTTAGCTTTCTTAGGATTTGGCCTTGAAAAATTGAAATGTGATCCTCTTCTTTCTTCTACCTGCATCATCAGGTGAAACTAGATCAGTGCGAACTCAGAAACTACATCAGAATTAGCCACAGCCTTTTGCAGTTGAAGAGATGGTAAACAGGTTTTTTCAGCATACCCTACACTGATTATTACTTTTAGAATTAAAGTTTAGGAAAGTAATTGAGGAAGTAAATAGTTGTTCAGTGCCACAGAAGTAAGGCAGAATTAGTATCAGATCTGAAAAACTCCTGTCTTAGCCCAGTACTCTTTTTTTTGTCGTTTTGAGACAGGGTCTTGCTGTGCAGTTCAGGCTGACCTCAAACTCACTTTGTAGCCCAGGCTGGCCTTGAACTTGCAGAGATCCTCCTGCCTCAGCTTCCCAAGCGCTGGGATTACAGGCATGCCCCATCACGCCTGGTAGCCCAGTACTCTTGCAAGAGTAGATAAATCTTTTACTTACTTGGGTGAGTGATTTCTGTTTATGCACTGCAGTGGACAAGGGGAAGTTCTGCAGTGACAAGCCACTGGTAGTTATTCCTTAGAAAAATAAACTGTTAGCTTTCATTTCAAGTAAAGGTGGCTCAGAAAGGAGGAGGATTTCCAGCCTCCTTGCTGGTACTGACACAACTTTATATATGTTTTACAAAGAAGAAAGCTTTGTGTTTTATTATTATAACTTTTGCTTAAGGAAGTAAAAGTGATTAAATATTTTTAACTTGTATTTCGTCCGTCAGTACATGATGTGGTACAATTCATTTCCTCTGAGAGAATGGAGCAGTGGATTTTAAGTGATCCATACTTTTCCTTTTAAAGAAGGTACAGTGACTACTCTGACACAGGGGCGTACCATCCTTGCTTCCCAGGAGGCTTGTTTAATTGCTTTCAAGCTGTGAAGCTCTGTATTGATGGTACTCTTTGTCAGCCTTTTTAAGGGCCCAGGGGAAGCGTGGGTAGCCTGAAAGCACATCAGTTTGAAATCAGATGGTAATCCTTATCTCCTGTATCCTGAAACCCTCCTTCTTTCTGAAGGGACTTGTCTATAATTCTTAATATGCTAACACAATTAAATGTTGTTAACTAGGAAGATTGATATTCCTTGCAGGTTGCTTACTTTATTTATTAAGGCCAGTTAGTTCTTAGCTTATGAGAAGCAGTTTTTCCATGTTTATCACAGGGTTAAAGAACTTTTTTTTCATAGATTTTTTTCAAAAGTGGAATTGGGTCTTCATCATAAAGTAACTTAAGTATCAAAATTAGCATGTGCACTTTGCACTGCCATACCTGGATCCTGCCCATGGTATGATGCTTGTTGTGATTAACATAACTTCTTTCTTTGACTTTTTTAGAGACTTACGAAACAATGAAATTTCATGGGCCATAGAAGATGCTAGTGAAGCCTTTACTGGACTCACAAGTCTCACTAAATTGTGTGTATTCATAATATTTGTGTATGTCTACAAAGGTATAGTTTCAAGAACCAGTTGTAGATGTGATGATTATGTTTATTTGATACAGCCGGGAAATTTGAGTCTTTTGACCCATCTGCTGAAGGAGGGAGGTTTATTTTGTTGTTTATCAAGTGGTTTGTTGTTAGTGGAGCACTTTTTGTTGGTAAAGCACTCTTACGAGTCCTAAGAGAAAAGTTACGGAATTTTTTGTTAAGAAGAGAAAAAAGGGGACTTTAACTGAATTTAGCATAGAAAAACTACCAGTTTATCAGTGGTCGGGCTGGCTGTGCAGAGGTACTTCACTGAGCTCCAGCATCGCGGTAGAAGCTCCATGCCGTTCTTTACATTGATTAGTAATGTAAGTTCTTAAGTTTATAGCATTCTTAAAAGTGAATGTTCTCATCAAACTGTACACATGAAATATATACAGTTCTAAAATAATCAATTATACCCCAGTAGAGATGATACAAGTACACAAAAGGCACATTAAGCTTATTTTCTCCTTTTATAGGTAAAGGTTTAATGAATTTATTTTTATTTCAGAATCTTACAAGGAAACCAGATTAAGTCAATTACAAAGAAAGCATTCATTGGTCTTGAATCCCTTGAGCATCTGTAAGTATTTTACATACGTTTCTACTATATAAATACTCTTTGCTATTAGCAGAGGTTGTTAAAAGCAGACAAGAAAGTGTTTATTTGACTTAATTGGAGAAGTGGTGACTGGTTTCATTTCTCTTCATTTCAGAGATCTGAACAACAATGCTATAATGTCTATCCAAGAAAATGCTTTTTCTCAGGCTCATTTGAAAGAACTGTAAGTAACTTACTTTTTTTTTAATATCAAATCACTGTGTGTGCTTTTGTGCCTACATTGTGATGAAGGTGACCCAGATATTTATAAAAGCATGCAATTTAGGCAGAAAAAAAATAAACTTAATATTTCAGTTATATTGGTGGCTGGCTGAAATTTTAAGAAACCCAACATTGAGAATGTAGTTGCAGTGCACATAATCAGGAACCCTTAGCATTGCTGCCTGTGCTTCACATGTATGCCCTATTGTTTGTTTTTTTCCCCTCCTCTCTGTTGCTTTTTGGACCACAGTGGTGGGAAACGTGTGGCATGTGTGCCACAGCTGGCTGTTTGATACCATTGACAGCTCTAAAAGGTTTGACCTTGTTGGTCTATCAGAAACATGTTCCCAGGTCTTACCGCTTCGATGGGTTAAACTGTAGGTATAACCTGTGATTTTTGTTCTTTAATTTGTGAGTTGATTGACATACAAAAGTATCTTTTGTGGTGGTGGGTACTGAGCCCACAGTCTTTCCCCTTAGTTACATCCCTAGCCTATTATTTTGGTTTTGTTTTTAGTTTTTGAAAATGAGTCTTGATAAGTCACTAAGTTATTGAGGCTGGCCTCAAACTTGGAGATCCTCCTGTTTCAGTCTCCTAGAGTGCTGAGCTTATAGGCATGTGCCACCATGCCTGACAAAAATACATAATTTTCTACCCTTTAAAACTTCATGGTTTTTAACATTTCTATGACATTTTTATCATAGTTTTAAAGACCACTGGTCTGCATTAGATTAGAAATTTTAAAAACTGCTTTTTAACACAGATAATCTGAGATGCAGTGGAAATGTGTTAGATTTTAAACTGCCTAGGTTCAAATCTTTGCTTTCTTTCTTGGAACTCGTGACAATGGGAAGTTTGTTTAGCCTGAGACTCAGTATTTACTCTCAAAATGAGAATAGCACCTCCTTCAGGGTTATGTGAAGGTAAAAATAATTCATTTATTGACATATTTATTGTCTACTGTTTGAGATACTGGCCTGGATGCTAAAAACACAAGAACAAGACAGATTCTCTGTTCCTGTAGCATATTACAGTAAATACTAAGGAAAGTGGATAATAAGCAGATATAGACTGTCTCATCAGGTAGTACGTTTTCTAAAGAAAAGTAAAACCAGGTCCGAGGTGTAGAGAGTGACAGAGATTACTATTTTAGATGAAGTAGTGAGAAGAGACTCTTCGGAAAATACTGCCTTTGACAAAGACCTTAGTGAAACGAAGTGGGAAGCCATATGAGTATTGGGTGGAGGGCGGGGCAAGGAAGTGAAGTGCAGTCAGAGGTAAGCAAGAATCACATCGTGTGAAGTCAGGTAGGCCATGAGGAATTAGATATTTTTGTTTGGTTTAGTTTATTTGTGTTTTGTTTTTCTTAAATGAATTAGGAAACTTGGAGTATTGGAGAAAGTGCTGAGCACAGGGCTCGGCACATAGTAAAAGCTGAATAATATTAACAAAAGATTAAAATGTTATAAAAGCCATTATCAATTATTTTCTGCTAGTTTGTTTGTTTATTTTATGGTACTGTATCAGGGATTGTACTCAGGGCCTCATGCATGCTAGGCAAGCATTCTGCTACTGAGCTACATTATATTCCCAGCCTTCTGCCAGATTTTTGTTGTGGTTTGTGTGTGTGTGTGTCTGTGTCTCTTTTTGAGACAGGGTTTTACTGTACAGTTCAGCTGTCTTGAACTCACTTTGTAGCCCAGGCTGGCCTCAAACTCGAAGCAGTCCTCCTGCCTTATCTGCCAGATTTTTAAAATGTTTTTTCTGTGGAATGAGGAAGTCTCTTGAAATGTTTTGAGGTATTTTTCTTAGCCTTAGTTAATGTGTAAGGACATAATTTACTGCAAATTAGTTGCACATTTATTTATTTATTTATTTATTTATTTTCTAGTGGTAGTAATCTGAGGGCCAGCAAGAAAATTTTAACTGCTGTTACAAGAACCTAGTTAAACATTAATTTAGATAGAAAGTGAAAGCAAATATTGTAGTTTCAATCTTCAGTGATTTATTTAGTAATTCGGGAGTTGGGATAAAGATTCCTTGCTTGACCAAGTCTTAGGCTTATGACTTCCTGGGCCTCTGTTACTTTTGTGTAAAACAGTGTTACCAGCTGCTAAACCAGTTTAGTAAGAACTCTCTCACATGAGTGTTTGGGCAACTTCAACATATAGTCATGTTTCTCTGTTGAGGTTCCTAGGTCCGTATCATTTACCAGGTGATGTCTGAGCATCCTGGCCTATCTTCAGCAAGAATCTGCTTAGGTTGATTTAGGTGGAATCCTCCACAGTAATTTTTCATCCAGTGATCCCCACCTACTCCATGGCTATGAATTTCCACTTGCCCATTCTGTATTTGGATTTGAGCCCAGTTTCTCTCCCCCATTGCTGAGTTCCCTTGCAGTGGTCTCTGTACTGAATGAGATGATCTTCAGTCAAGTCTGCCATACCATGGTTTAACAAATATCTTTGAATAATTTTTCTTTTAACAGTGAGGTTCCTGTGGGTTATGGTTTGTGTCTGCACGTCCCCCCACAAGCCTCATGCAGTCATGGAGCAGGCTTCTAGAGTTTATGATTGATTCATGGCCCAATGCTAGAATTATGGGTGTGAGTACTGCACCACCCTGGGACGGGTAGTTTGCCTACAGTGTAAGGGAGGGAAAGAGGCTGCTTGCTGCAGCTCCTCCCTTTTTGCTCTTGGTGCTTTTGCTGTCTTCTGCTGCCATGAACTGTTGCCCTCTGCCATGTGCCACTTTTTCTTGGAGCCAGCTGAGTATGGACTGAAACCTGCACAAACTGTGAGCTAAATAAACCTTTCCTTCCTTAATTTTGGGTGTTGGATATTTTGCCTCAGCAATGAGAGAAAAGTAATGAAGACACTATGGCTTGGATAGAATCAAAGGCACCATGGGACCCCTAGACCTCTCACCTAGGACCCCAAGTGTATACCTTTGAAGCCTTTGTCTTCACTTCTGACTGATTGATGGTGGTGAGCTAGACTGATCCAGTGGTGAGCTAGACTGGTGAAGCGTTGCTCTGGACAAATGTCCGTTGGAGCTGGTAAGGAGAGATTTTGATTCCTAACAGTCTGACTACACTTTCTGAAGCTGGGATAGGGTACCAGGCTTCTTTTGAGAGGTATCTCCTAGATGGAAGGATATCCCTGGCCTTCCTTCCTAAGTAGAGATTATTCTCTGACTCCCGGTGCTGGACGCACCTCCTGGCACCCTTTGAGGCTTGTCTTTTTACTGTTAGATTCTGTTTCTCCCATTAGAACTACTGTCACCTCAAACCTATTTTGAACTCCTTTTTTTTCTGAGACAGGGTCTTGCTCTGTAGTCCAGGCTGGTCTTGAACTCACTGTGTAGCCCAGCTTGGCCTTGAAGTCATAGCAGTCCTCCCTCAGCCTCCCAAGTGCTGGGATTATAGGCATGTGCCACCATGCCTGGCTGTTCTGTTAACTTTTGTCTGCCTCTTTTGTGTTGGAAGTTCATTTGCCTCTGTGGGAAATTTAAAATCTCCTCTAAGGTCTCTTCCATCTCCTCCCTCTATTGTTACCCCTTCTTTGTACTTTTTTTCTCTAGTATTGGGAATTGATCCCAGGACCTCAATCATGCTAGGCAAGGGCTCTACCACTGAGCTACATCCCCAGTTTTTTGTTTCGTCTTGAGATGGGCCTTTGCCCAGGCTGGGGTTGAACTTGTGATCCTCCTGAGAGTTTCCCAAGTAGGTGGACTTACAGGTGTGGGCCTCAGTATCTAAGTTTTTGTCTTCTTAATTACTTTTATCTTCCCTTTTGTTCCTGTGAATTCTTCGCTATGTCCCCCTGTAAATCCCTATCTCCTGCATCTTCCATCCACCTCTCTCAGATGTTTCTTTCCCATTCTAGTCTATTCACTTGAATTTTAAATCTTCTATCTTCATTGGGCTCTCAAGAGATTGAGGACCCCCTCCCCCCAATCAGCCACTGGAAGGTGACAAGGAAAAGAACTGAGTGGAAGTAGACTAAATATTTTACCTACATTGAGATGGGCATTGCAGATACACAGGTAGCCCCTAAATGTCTCTTCAACTTCTATTAGATTACATATCAGGGCAAAAGAAATTTTTGAATGTCTCTTTCTCAAATATAGTAGCTCTCCTTTGTCTGAAGAATATGTTCTAAAACCCCCAGCAGATGGGGGACAATACTGAAACCTATGTGTCCTGTATTTTTTCCTATAAGATACTGACTTATAATACTAGAGTTAATCTGTCCTATGTGTTATGTCCTGTGGCCTCCTTTACATCACTATTCTTTCACTTTGGGCTACTTTGGACCATTATCAAGTAATAAGGATAGTATAGCAGTTGATTTAATAAATGTCTTTGGGTCTAGATGTCTCCCCAGAGCCTCATGTAGTCATAGGTGAGGTTTTTTCAGAGGTGACTGAATCTAGAGTGTGTGATTGATTCATTGTGCAAAGCTAGGCTTAAGGGTGCTAGGATTAAGGGTGGGTAGTTACTAAGTCAGTCCCCTGACTGGCTTGGCACCACCCAAATTCCAGCAGCCTGGATAAAATACAAGGGATAGAGAGAGGCTTGTTTTCGCCCTCCTTTACTTTCTGGCTTTTGCTTTCCTCTGCTTGCCATCAGCTGGTTCTCCTTTGCGATCCTCCTCTGCCAAACCACTCTGCCTTGGAGCCAGCTGATTATGGACTGAAACATTCATAGACTGTGAGCTAAATAAACACTTTCATCTTTAATGTTGGGTGTCAGGTATTTTGTCTCAGCAACAAAAGTAACTAAGATAATAATCAAGATGGCCACTAAATGAATACTAGGTGGATGGCATACACATTGTGGATATACTAGATAATGGAATGATTCATTTTTTTTGAGCACTGCAGCAGGCAGTTTTGTCATGCAACTCAGAGTGGCACATAGTTCAAAATCTATGAATTGTTTCATTTCTGGAATTTTT